ACTTCTGCTTATAAAAATATGTCTTAAGGTCTTGGCTATTTAATAGTGAAAACCACAGATCTCTATCTCGTTTTTGTGAAAAGTTATTCGAAAAATATTGGCGCTCAGAACTTAGTTGACAGCCTAATACTCGATGATCAACAGGATGATAAACTTGTGTTTTTGCTAATATCTTATCTATATATGTAGCCGACTTTTGACACAAAAACGATGCAAATAAAAGAGCTTATTCAGACTGTAGAAGGCTGAGGTGGTAGCGGGACAACAAGATGAATAACAAGTCACAAATTGTGAACGGATAGAGTAATAATATATATGAAGGGAGCGAAGAAAATGCTATAGGAAGTAGTAAAGAAATTTGAATTATTGTATGCACAGTAAGAGAGTAAAAGTTCATTTATAAAATCAGACGTATGTGAACCACAACAAAAGTACATATGAAAATAACGGTGAGAATAAATGTTTTGCTTATAAATCGTAAATGATTAGAGATAAAGTAACCATATTTGAAACGCATGTAATCCTAATATAGATTAATATATGTTCGAAAAATGAAAATTTTTCATCAACGCTAAGAGGAGAAAAGTTTGGGACCGTTTACATCGTGCAAACGGTGAGAATCGCCCATTCTGATAGATGAGAATGAGCTCTATGAATTTTATATAGCAGTTTTTGGCGCAAGCCATACTCATCGAATACCGAGTGTATCAGTTAACTCTATAACTTTTCACAATACTGTGATCAGTTACGCACCACTTGCAGCTTTTTGCCAGTTGACTGTAGTTATAAAACTGTAAAAATATTGATAGCTGTAACTGACAAAAAACGTTTTAGCATTTTTGTTTCGGATTATAATAAGATGACTAAAATTCAAAACCATAATAAATTCGTTTTTTCATTTATTTGGCCACAGTTGAATAGAGCACATCGAGCTGAGTAAGAAAAAGTGATTTTTAATTTTTTTAAAAGTTTTTTAAGGAAGAAAAAAATGAAAAAATTCGAAGGATCTAACATTTCGGAATACCATTCGATTTCAAAAAAATTCAAACTTTTTTCTTTTTCGTGACTGAAAATTTTTCATCAGCCCTAAGAGAAGAAAAACTTTCTTTCACTTTGCCTTGCCACTAAGAATTGTGGGCAGAATTTCGAATTTTCCCCTCCTGATTTAGAAAAAGATGAATTTTCTCAGTTTTCTCTAGTAAACTCATTTTTATACATTATAAATATCATATTTGGAATCAGCGTCAAAAACTGAGCCGAATATATATATTTCAAAACCTTCTGTTAATTTTTCTTTTTTTGGTGAAGATCTCAGTTTCGATCTGAAAATCCGAAAAAAACAAAAGTAGTCGCATAAGATAAAAAAAGTATATCATTTGACTCAGTTTTGGATGCTATTCCAAATATGATATTTGTAAAGTATAAAAATGAGTTTGCTAAAGAAAACTACGTGCAGATTCCGAATTTTCCCCTCCTGATTTAGAAAAAGATGAATTTTCTCAGTGAAAAAAAAGCGATCTATACTTTTAGAACTTGATTAATAGCGACTCTAATGAAATGAAAATATCGGCTGCATCTCTTCAGAAAAAAACCTAGATAGGTTTGCAAAATTGTTTATGAACCTTTTATCCAAGACGCCCATCTGGATAGACCGAATCCCGAATTTTTACAAATATAGTATAAATCGAGACCAACATACTAAAACGTTTTTCGCCAGTTTCACATGTTTTCTCAGTTCCAATTGTGACAGTTATGCAGTTACAGTTTTACAGTTAAGTGTAACTGTTGCATAGTCCAAAACAATAAAAAACAATTAACTGAAAGGTTACATCCTATACGGTAATACACTTCACATAGTTCTCTAATTTAAACGAGCAGTCAACTTACTCAATTAATTGTAGAATGAGGCCATATTTCAGTGCTTTTCGTCTACCCTCAAATACCGAGTGCATGGTACATAAAAAACTAAACTTTTCACCCATTTTCGAATAGATATCAATGACACACATTGTTGAACAATGTTTTTCTTGAGCTAAACAGATAAAGAACATATATGAGCTCTGTATAAACATACCATCAACAAATCTATACCGCAATTTCTTCTTGCTTGTTCCAATATGTAAATATCATCCGTGACAACAATTCGATTTAACGATGTTTTAATTATTTCTGAAGATGAATATCCAAGGATAGTTTCAACACTAGAATATAGACTCAAGAAATGATTTGTTGTTACAACAATTATAACCGGTTGTGCAATGTCTCATGATCATTGAAACGTACGAAGCGCTTTATTTATTTTTAGTTTTTTTCAACATACGTCTTATGGGTCATACTTACTGTCCTGATACTTCATCAATACACATTGTATCTGTCAATATTAATTTAATTGAATGACTATCATTGGGTGCATGTGGTGTATTCGTTAATAGTGTCTGACAGCGAGCAACAAATAGAGGTTCAATACAATCATCAAACTGATGGTAATGACCAGTCATTAAAATTGCCTAAATTAGAAAAGTACAAGATTGACACTTCTATTTAGTCGTCGATTCACACTACCTTTGCCTCATATTGCCTATTAATTTGACGTCTACCACGTGGTAAATGCCATGTACATAGTACTTGTGTTTCATTTTCTAAATTTGGATTGCACAACATATTCTGAATTTGAATTTTATCATTTTCATCAACACAGTCATAAATATTCTCAATCTGAGAATATAGAGAACGCACAGATTTTTTCAAATAATCCTTAACATCATCACTAATAACCACTACCCGTCCCGTACAAGTTAGAACAGTAATAAAACCATTCATATCCTAAAATAGATTATTTAAAATGTTTTTTAGTTTTATTCTGAATAGTTCTTAACTTACGTGTGCGCTACAATCAACACCATCAGTCAAATAGATGTTTTCTTTTATAACGAATAGAAGAAAAAGTGATGATATATATTTCAAACTATTTCTTCTAACTTACTTTTATATACGGTTCCATTTAAATATTTTTCTTTAATTAATGTCGCAAGAGTTAAACTTAACGTATCATTTCTATTATGTTTACTGGTATCGAAACAATTTATATCATCCAACCCGTCATCTAAAAAGCATTGTGCGAGCTTTTCAAATGCTTGATTTGTTAGTCGACGACCCGTATATGATTTTGCATCATATGATGACGAAGGACTTGATCTCTAAACAAAGATAAAAAGAGAATTTTTTATCAATTTTTTTTAAATATATAACAAGGATATTTTACCTTTCTTGGATTATGCATCAGATTTAACATACTATGATTCTCAAGCAGTAAATCGCTTGACAATGACCAGCTTTCATTAACATCGTAAAGAAACTTCTCGAAAGTTTTGTACGATAAATCGGTCAACGACATATTTTAATTAGTAAATATAACCGTCCAGCGAGAAATGTTCACTGACCAGCAGTGAGAATGTAGATATAATAGGTATAAAGAGTCTGTGAGTAGGTAAAATACGAAATGTAACGTATAGGACTATAGCATTTTGATATATATGTGTATGTTTTTCTGCTTTCTATTTCTCTACAAATATTAGACGCTCAAAATAGTTTCGTATTTTTTTCTCAATACGAAAAAAGAGTATACATATGTTTTTCTTTCACCTAGAAGAACGGCAATAAGATTGAAAACACAAAAATTAAAAAAAGAATACCTTTCATATTCAACAGTATTTTTTTCCTCATTCAATAGTGAGAATAAAACTAATAACTAAACTATAACGCCAATTATTATTAGTAGATATTTAAACATAACATATTTAAACATCATTTCTTCTCTTCTCTTGCAGGTCATTTAGAAGACGTTTCGTAACATGTTGTAGTTCATGTATGCATAAAACAGTGGAAGATTAGATATTAATGTACGTTTCTCTACCTCAGGACATGATCTTTATAGTATTTTTGTAGGCATCTAGTAGTTTTGTAGTAGTACACGTAGTTTTTTAAGTTCCTTTTGGCTATTTTTCCAAGCCCTTTTACATTCGCGTCCTTTTAAGCACGTTATTTCGATATAATGATCGAAAGAAAATAATTTAAAATGCTCTTCAAACAACTGCAAAATACTTCTTCACCACGAACAATCGAACTAACTCTCATATACAACCCGTAAAGTATGAACCACGCTTTTCAATTCACAATGAGCTACTGGTTCACAGTGGGCATTTTTTGCTAGAGCAAGCGGACTTTAGCTTTATGAGTGAACTAAAATTTCATGAACCATCTTTTTATAGGTTTTTCATGATCCTCTTTCTAATGGCATGAGAGTTGGGTTTTAA